GTGTGAGGTAATTTAAGGTGGTTCTGACAAGTGTCGGCATCTTCATATCCGGTCACATGGGTGGCAAGCCACTCCCATCCCACAAAGGAGGTCACACCCACAGAGTAGGTTCGAACAATTTTTGAAACCCACCACTGATACCTGCGTAATGCTTCTGACAGCCACTAATCCCAGGTTTACTGATTCTCTAATAGGTTGATTGTACAAGCTGCTGACAAAGGAATCCCTGGACTATTTGCTAATTGCACGATAGACATAGAAGTTGTGGACATCAATGATAATGCTCCAACTCTGCAGCCATTTGATATTATCCATCTCTCTGAAAGTAAGAATGATTCTCATTTTATGCTTGGATTAAACTTTAAACATAGTTTTAGTTTAAAAAATAGGTTTTCTTTCAATTTACATTCTTGGTCAAATAGCAAGTATCATTTTAGCAAATATTCTTTGAGATATTTCTAATACCTATGAGTATTCTATTTTTGAACTATTTAAAATAAACACAATAAATAATATAATCTATTCCTTTAAATCTTGAAAGGACATTTTGTCTTAAGACACATTAATCTGGATATTAAGAATTGATTATTATTTATTATTCCTGACATTTAGTTTTAATTTCTGTTTAGTTTTTTGGGAGGGGCCCCTACTGTGAAGCTAGGACTACCAACTTTAAGAGAATTTTAGAATACTCTTAATGTTGACAGAAGTAACAAAACATGGTGACTTGAGCTAGTGGAGGAAAATTGAAATCTAACTCAAAAATGATAGCTAATTTAGCAGGTTCTAAAAGTAGACTAGATAGGAAAGAGATGAAAATATCAATAGTTACTAAAATAAATGGCTCTTTACTTCTCTTGAATCATGGGCACTGATTGTTGGAAATCAAAAGTAAAATGGGATTTTACTTTCTTCTCCAGTTCTGTGACTTCCCAAAGGCATCCAGTTGGTTTCAGTATGACACAAAATATTGAATTAGAAGAGCTTTTGTCAAGATCTAGAGAAGTTGTTCTTATAGTTATATAACAATAATTAAAAATAACTAATCTAATATTCTGTGATCACTATTGTAAAAATTAAAAAATGGTTAAGTGTAACAGTTAAGACTCCTATCTTGAAATAATTGTGCATGTGAATAATTAAGGTTTATGAAGGAGGCTGTGGCACATATTGATCTTAGTGATCTCCAGAAGCGAAGTGGATTAAAATCTAGTTAGGAGCAGGAAAACATCCCAGAAGAAGGTTGCTTAAGAAAAGTATATTGCCGTGGCCATGAAGTATGTAGACATCAAGCTACCAAGTGCAACATATGCTCAGATAATTGAGGATGGCCATACATTTGTACTATGGTTGTTGCAAAATGTACAGAATGAAATGTAATATAGAATAGAATAGAATAGAATA